TTCTTTCTTTCTTTCTTTCTTTCAATACATTTGTCTCTGCCTCCCCCATACCACTTTCCTTTGCCCCCTCCCTCCTTCCCTCACTCAGCTCTTCCCCTTTGGTTTTGTCCATGAATTCTTGCTATATGTTCCTTGACTTTCCCCTTCCCTTCCCTTTCCATGCACGCCCCTCCCTCCTTCCCTCTTGTCTCTGTTGATTTCTTTTCCTTTCAGTGTTGCTGGTCATATTTTCCTTGCATCTTTGTATTGTTGGTTAGGTTCCGCTAATAGGTGAGATCATATGGTATTTGTCTTTTGCCCCCTGACTTATTTCGCTTAGCATAATGCTCTCCAGTTCCATCCATGCTGTCTTGAAATTTAGTAGTTCTTTTTACCTTTCTGTTGCGTAGTATTCCATTGTGTATATGTACCATGATTTTTTGATCCAATCACCTACTGATGGACACTTAGGTTGCTTCCAACACTTGGCTATTGTAAATTGTGCTGCTATGAACACTGGGGTGCATAGGTTCTTTTGTATTGGCATTTTGGTGTTCTTAGGGTATAGTCCCAGCAGGGCAATAACTGGATCAAAAGGCAGTTCCATTTTCAGCTCTTTGAGGAAACTCCACACCGCCTTCAACAGTGGCTGTACCAGTCTGCATTCCCACCAACAGTGGACTAGGGTTCCCTTTTGTCCACAGCCTCGCCAGCACCTGTTGTTTGTGGATCTGTTTATGACGGCCATTCTGACCAGTGTGAGGTGGTACCTCATGATGGTTTTGATCTGCATTTCTCTGATGGCTAGTGATGCTGAGCATCCTTTCAAATGTCTCTGGGCCCTCTGTATCTCCTCCTTGGAAAAGCATCTGCCCAGGTCCTTTGCCCATTTTTTGAATGGATCGTTTGTCTTCTTGGAGTGGAGTCGAGTGAGTTCTTTATATATCTTGGAGACTAAACCTCTATCTGATGTATCATTAGCAAATATATTTTCCCATAAGCTTGGCTCCCTTTGCATTTTGCTGATGTTTTCTTTTGCCGTGCAGAAGCTTCTTATTTTGATGAGGTCCCACTTGTTTATTCTTTCCTTTATGTCCCTTGCTTTAGGAGACATATCAGTGAAAAAATTGCTGCGTGGGCTATCTGAGAGTTTCCTGCCAATGTTCTCCTCTAGGACTTGTATGGTGTTGTGACTTATATTTAAATCTTTTATCCATCTTGAGTTTATTTTTGTGTATGGTGTCAGCTGATGATCCAATTTCAATTTTTTGCATGTAGCCGTCCAGCTCTCCCAACACCATTTTTTGAAGAGGCTATTAGGGCTCCATTTTATGCTTCTGCCCCCTTTGTCAAATATTAGATGCCCATTGAGACCTAGACTTATTTCTGGGCTTTCTTTCTGTTCCACTGGTCTATGGGTCTGTTCTTGTGCCAGTACCAGATTGTTTTGAGTATGGTGGCTTTGTAGTAGAGTTTGATGTCCGGTATTGTGATCCCTCCTACTTTGTGTTTCTTTCTCAAAATTGCTGCGGCTATTCGAGGTCGTTTATAGTTCCATATAAAATTTTGAAATGACTGTTCTATTTCTGTGAAATACGTCATTGGTATCTTAATAGGGATTGCGTTGAATCTATAAATTGCTTTGGGTGGTATGGACATTTTGATGATGTTAATTCTTCCAATCCATGAGCACGGTATATGATTCCATTTATTTGTGTCTTCCTTAATTTCTTTCTTCAATGTTGTATAGTTTTCTGCGTACAGGTCTTTTACGTCTTTGGTTAAATTTATGCCTAGGTACTTTATTTTCCTTCTTGCTATATAGAATGGTATTTTTTCTCTGATTTCTTCTTCTTCTATTGCATTGCTGGTGTAGAAAAATGCCTTTGATTTCTGAATGTTGACTTTGTATCCTGCTGTTTTGCCAAATTAACTTATAAGGTTAAGGAGTTTTCTGGTAGAGTCTACAGGGTTCTCTATGTACACTATCATGTCATCTGCAAACAATGATAGCTTTACTTCCTCCTTTCCTATTTGGATGCCTTTTATCTCTTTCTCTTGTCTGACCGCTGTGGCTAGGACTTCCAATATGATGCTGAAAAGAAGCGGTAAGAGCATACATCCTTGTCGTGTTCCCGATCTTAGTGGGAAAGCTTTCAGTTTTTGCCCTTTGAGTATTATATTGGCTGTAGGTTTTTCATATATGACCTTTATTATGTTGAGGAATGCCCCATTTATTCCCATTTTGCTGAGTGTTTTGATCATAAATGGGTGCTGTACCTTATCAAATGCTTTTTCTGCATCTATCGATATGATCAGGTAGTTTTTGTCTTTTCTTTTATTTATGTGATGTATCACGTTTACTGATGCGTATATTGAACCATTCCTGCATCCCTGGGATGAATCCCACTTGATCGTGGTGGATAATCTCTTTAATGTATTGCTGGATGCGGTTTGCCAATATTTTGTGGAGGATTTTAGCATCTATGTTCATCAGCAAAATTGGCCTGTAGTTTTCATTCTTTGTGGGGCCTTTATCTGGGTTTGGGATCAGGGTGATGCTGGCCTCATAGAAAGAGTCTGGGAGTCTTCCCTCGTCTTGGATTATTTGGAATAGTCTGAGAAGGACAGGGGTTAGCTCTTCCTTAAATATTTTGTAAAATTCTCCTGTGAAACCGTCCGGCCCTGGGTTTCTGTGTGCTGGTAGTTTCTTGATCACTGCTTCCATTTCCTCAGCTGTTATCCGTCTGTTCAAGCTTTCTGTTTCTTCCTCCTTCAGTGTTGGAAGATTATACTTTTCTAAAAATTTGTCCATTTCATCAAGATTTTCAAATTTCTTGGCATATAATTGTTCATAATAGTTTCTGATGATCATTTGTGTTTCTGTGGTATCAGTTGTTATTTCTCCTCTTTCATTTCTGATATTATTAATTTGGGTCCTCTCCCTTTTTTTCTTGATGAGTCTGCTTAAAGGCTTGTCAATTTTATTTAATTTTCAAAGAACCAGCTTCTGGATTGGTTGATCCTCTGAATTGTTCTTTCGTCTCTATGTCATTCAGTTCTGCTCTAATTTTGACTATTTACTATTAATTGCCTTAATTAATATAGTTATATTTTACCCACCACCTCTGAGGTTTCAGCTCTTCTATGTCTGCTTTCAATTTTTCTGAACCAGAACCTAGTAGCTTTTTTAAAATTACTAAAGAAATATGCTACAGTGAGGAATACAAGGAGATATCAATAATCTCAACATCGTTAAGCGTGCATAAACTTACTACAACCTTACTATGGGCCAGTCTCTGCTTTAGGGAACAGTCTAGTGGGTAGGGAAAAATGAATTATACTCATGGATAAAATAGTTTTATTGGCTTCTATTTGATACTAAACTTTGTTTCTTTGAAAATAATTCAGTAATTATTGTTTATCAAATAACATATAGTTGTGTTTTAAAAATGCAAATTTCTGAAGGATATATGAGAACTCTGTATTCTTTGCAACATTCCTGTAAATCTAAAATTATCTAAAATAAAAGTTTTATTTTTAATTAATTAAGAGAGATAAGATGGCGGAGGAATGAATGGGAGTCACGCTGACCCCATCCCAAAACCAAACTGGAATTCCAACTAAATAAGGGAGTAATCACCTGCCAAGCAGTAGAGCGATAGTGGGAGAGGAGCCTTGGTGCCTCGGACAGTGGATTCGACTCTCACACATCGCAACGGGTGAAAAGTGAGGTTGAGGCTCGAGAGGGTGGGCTGGATGCCCACTGGCACTGGCACCAGAGGGACATTGAAATGGCCAGTTAGCTTCCCCCGAGAAGAACGGGGTCTGAATCATAAACAGGAACCCCTAAACTACAGCAGCTAAAGCCAAGAAAATACAGACAAAACGCAACCCCAAAAAGCTTAAGGGTGCTCTCTGCCAGAGACAGGTGGCTGGAGATGCAATGAGACATTTAAAGGGCCAAAGCAAAAATTGCAGGGGCAGCCACCCTCCTTTATCTCTGGGTAGAGGCGGCAGCAGGCTGGGCTGGTGCCTGGGAAAAGACTGGTGAGGAAAACTTTGTGAAGAGAACTGAGATGGCAGCCGGTGTAGCCCGGGTGATAACGCACCTCCCACTCTGCAGCTCCCATCTCGCTCAGGCATAAGGGAATCAATTAACCTGCCTTTTGTGCACTCTACACACAGTATGTGCGCCTGTGAGCTGGGGGGCCAAGTGCAGTCTGGCTGGGAGAGCCTTGAGGAGAGACTGGAGACGCAGGCATTGGGTAGGAGGAACCGAGGAGACCCGACTCCCTCCCCCTTTCTGTAGTCTCCATTTTGGGCAGACAAGGCACGCCCCCAAACACGCAGAAGGGGGGCTCACAGGAACCAGACTGCCCGTGATTGAAACGCAGTCTGCACAGGTGGTGGATCCTTGGCCAAAGGGGTCACAGAACTGCCCAGAGACCCCTGAGGAGAGACTGAAAACGGAGTGATTGGGGAAAGAACGGGAGGAGGAACCATGGAGTCCCGACTCCTTCCCCTTTCCATAGTCTCCATTGTGTGGGAATAGGACACACCGCCAAAGAGCCAAAAGCCGAAAACCACACCATAGACAGCCCAAAACCACCCAGTGCAGGCGCCCGCACACCTGCACTGAGTGGTCAGCGAGGGTTGGCGAGTGTGTGTGTGGACCTGTGCAGGCTGTCAAGGGCTCGCACAAGCTGCATAGGCTTCTCACAGGTTGACACAGATGGGGCCTGCGAGGGAGTGCGCAGATGGCGAGGGCAAATGTAAGTCGACCCGTGCGGACCTGTGACTGCAGAGCAGTCCGCAGAAATAGTGGATTCAGGGCAAAGGGGTCACAGAGCTGCCCAGAGTCCCTGGAAGAGAGACTGGAGACAGGACTAACCAGAGAGTCCTGGAGCTGACTTCCTCCCATTTCCGTAGTCTCCATTTGGCGAGGACAGGCAATGCATCCAAAGAGCCAAAAGCGGGAAGAGCACACAATAGAAGCTCCTAAACGTACCAGTGCCGGGATGTCCGCTGGCCGGGGCGATCAGACAAGTATGTGAAGTTGCGAAGAAGCCCCCTGGGCTGGGGCAAGCATGCGCGAGCCCAGGTGGGCAGCAGATCCTGCTGGGCCAGGGAGCACAATCAAGGAGCCCACGTGAGACTGCAGAGCGATCCGCAGAAATAGTCCCTCCCTGGCAGAAGGGGTCACAGAGCTGCCCAAAGCAGGAGTAGACGCAGACAGCAGACTCCTGGAAGGCTCAAACAAACAACCCCAGGCCATATACTGTCAACAACTGACATCATCAGAAGCAGGGCCAGAAAGAAGAGTAAAGGAAATAAATACATTAATAAATAAATAAATAAAAAGACCCGCCTATACCATAGAAGTTTAAACCACGAAGTCAGGAAATCTGGATGGCCCAATTGAAGCAGAAGCAAAATAAATAAATAAATTACTTAACAGACTCTCACAAAAATGGGAAGAAAAAGAAGTTCCCCAAAATGAGTAGAAAAGGGGACTCCCCACAGAGAGAGCTAAATGAAATAGAGGCAAGGGAACTATCAGATATGGAATTCAAAAAAAAGGTTCTAAAGAAGCTCGATGAGTTCAGCCAGCTCAAAGACAACTATGAGAAACTGCAGAGAAACTATCAGGACCTTACAGCAAACTATATCAGTCTGGAAAAGGACATAGAAACTGTCAAGAAGACACAAGAGGATATGAAGAATACCATGTCTGAATTGAAGAACACAGTAGAAGGAATCCAAAGCAGGCTGGATAAAGGCGAGGATCGAATCAGTGAGAGGGAGGATAAGGTAGAAAAAAGCTCCCAGAAAGAACAAGAAATGGAAAAAAGACTCAAAAAGAATGAAGAGGCATTGAGGAAAATGCAGGACAACCTGAAACACAATAATATCCGTATAATAGGGATACCAGAAGGAGAAGAAGAGGAGCAAGGGATAGAGAACCTCCTCGAAAAAGTAATGATGGAAAATTTCCCCAACCTGAGGAAAGAAAGTGTCTCATGGATCCAGGAGGCACAGAGGACCCCAGTCAAGAGGGACTCAAGGAGAGCCACACCAAGACACATCGTCATTAAAATGGCAACTATCAAAGACAAAGAGAGAATCCTCAAGGCAGCAAGGGAGAAGGAGAAAGTAACATACAATGGGGCCACGATACGGCTAGGAGCTGACCTCTCAACAGAAACACTACAATCCAGAAGGGAATGGCAGCAAATATTCCAAGTCATGAAAGCAAGGGCCTACAGGCAAAGCTGCTCTATCCAGCAAGGCTCTCCATTAAAATAGAAGGGGAAATAAGGAGTTTCCCAGACAAAAGAAGGCTAGAAGAATATATCTCTACCATACCAGCACTCTAAGGTATGCTCAAGGGACTGGTTTAAGAAGATGAAATAAAAGAGTGAGAAAGAGAAAAACACAGGTACAAAGAGAAAAGATGAGTAAGTTTCTATCAGTAATAACTCTCAATGTAAATAGACAAAATGCCCCTTCAAGAGACACAGGGTACCTGAATGGATAAGAAGACATGACCCACACATATGCTGCCTACAAGAGACCCACCTCAGAGTGAAAGACATACACAGATTGAAAGTAAAGGGATGGAAAAAAATATTCCAAGCAAATGGGCAGGAGAAAAAGGCGGGGGTTGCCGTACTTGTTTCACACAAAGTAGACTTCAAAACTAAGGCCATAAAAAGAGACCCAGAGGAGCACTTTATAATACTTAAAGGAGACTCTATCAAGAAGACTTAAACATTGTAAACTTATATGCTCCCACTATAGGGGCCCCCACATATATAAGGAAATAGTTGGATGACTTCAAAAAAGATATAGACAACAACACACGGATAGTAGGGGATTTCAACACCCTACTGTCAAAAATGGACAGATCTTCCAAACAAAACATTAACAATTATATTGTGCAGCTGAAAAACACACTGAATCAAATAGACTTAACAGACAAACAAAGAACATTACATCTCAAAGAAGAAAAATACACATTCTTTTCAAATGCTCATGGCATTTTTGAAAGATAGACCACATGATAGGAAACAAAGCAAACCTCAGCAAATTCAGGAAAACTGAAATAATACCACACTTTTTCTCGGACCACAAGGGATTGAAACTGGAAATCAACCTCAAAGAGAAACTTTAAAATCTTGCAAACTCATGGAGACTGAACAGTACACTCTTAATCAATGAATGGGTCAATAATGAGACAAGAGAAGAAATCAAAAAAATTCTGGAAAAAAATGAAACTGAACAGTCAACAGTCCAAAAGCTATGGGACACAGCAAAGGCGGTCCTGAGAGAGAAGTTCATAGCAATACAGGCTTACCTAAAAAAGACAGAAACATTTCAAATAGAAGACCTAACACTACAACTTCAAGAATTGGAGAAACAACAAAGAATAAATCCCAGAGCAAATAGAAGGAAGGAAATAGTCAAGATTAGAGCAGAACTGAATGACATAGAGACGAAAAGAACAATTCAAAGAATCAACCAATCCAGAAGCTGGTTCTTTAAAGGATAAATAAAATTGACAAGACTTTAAGCAGATTCATCAAGTCAAAAAGAGAGACGACCCAAATTAATAATATCAGAAATGAAAGAGGAGAAATAACAACTGAGACCACAGAAATACAAAGGATTGTCAGAAACTACTATGAACAATTATATGCCAAGAAATCTGAAAACCTTGATGAAATGGACACATTTCTAGGAAAGTATAATCTTCCAACATTGAAGGAGGAAGAAACAGAAAGCTTGAACAGACCGATAACAGCTGGGGAATTTGAAGCAGTAATCAAGAAACTCCAGGCACACCAAAGCCCAGGGCCGGACAATTTCACAGGAGAATTTTGCAAAACATTCTATGAAGATCTCACCCCTGTCCTTCTAAGACTATTCCAACAAATCCAAGAGGAGGGAAGACTCCCAGACTGTTTTTATGAGACCAGCATCACTCTTACCAAAATTAGATAAACTCCCTACAAAGAAGGAAAACTACAGGCCAAATTCACTGATGAACATAGGTGCTAAAATCCTCAGCAAAATAATGGCAAAGTGCATCCAGCAATACATTAAAAAGATCCTCAATGACCAAGTGGGATTCTTCCCAGGGATGCAGGGATGGTTCAATATACACAAGTCAATAAATATAATAAATCACATAAAGAAAAGGACAGAAACCACATGATCATCTTGATAGATGCAGAGAAAGCATTTCATAAGGTTAAGCACCCATTTATGATCAAAACACTCAGCAAAATGGGAATAAATGAGGCATTCCTCAACGCAATAAAGGCCGTATAAGGCCATAACAACCTACAGCCAACATCATGCTGAGCAGGTGAAAACTAAAAGCTTTCCCACCGAGATCGGGAGCAGGACAAGGATTTCCGCTTTCACTGCTTCTTTTCAGCATTGTATTGTAACTCCTAGCCACAGTGGTCAGACAAGAAAAAAAAAAAAAGACATCCAAATAGGAAAGGAGGAAGGAAAGCTATCATTTTTTGCCAATGACATGATAGTGTACATAGAAAACCCTGTAGACTCTACCAAAAAACTCCTCAACCTTAAGTGAATTTGGCAAAACAGCAGGATTACAAAGTCAATATTCAGAATTCAAGGGTATTTCTGTACACCAGCAATGCAATAGAAGAAGAAGAAATCAGAAAAAAAATACCATTCGATATAGCAAGAAGAAATATAAAGTTCTTAGGAATAATTTTAACCAAAGAGGTAAAAGACCTGTACGCACAAAACTATACAACATTGAAGAAAGAAATTAAGGAAGACACAAATAAATGGAAGCATATACTGTGCTCATGGATTGGAAGAATTAACATCATCAAAATGTCCATACTACCCAAAGCAATTTATACATTCAACGCAATCCCTATTAAGATACCAATGGCATATTTAACAGAAATAGAACAGACATTTCAAAAATTTATATGGAACCATAAATGACACCGAATAGCATCAGCAATTTTGAGAAACAAAAACAAAGTAGGAGGGATCACAGTACCGGATATTAAACTGTACTACAATGCCTCTACACTCAATACAGTCTGGTACTGTCACAAGAACAGACCCATTGACCAGTGGAACAGAATTGAAAGCCCAGAAATAAGCCCAGGTGTATATGGGCATCTGATATTTGACAAAGAGGGCAGAAACATAACATGGGGTAATAATAGTCCCTTCAACAAATGGTGTTGGGAGAGCTGGAATGCTACATTCAAAAAGTTGAAATTGGATCATCAGCTGACACCATATATAAAAATAAACTCAAGATGGATAAAAGACTTAAATATAAGTCACAACACCATACAAGTCCTAGAGGAGAACATTGGCAGGAAACTCTCAGATATCCCAAGCAACAATTTTTTCACTGATATGTCTCCTAAAGCAAGGGACATAAAGGAAAGAATAAACAAGTGGGACCTCATCAAAATAAGAAGCTTCTGCACGGCGAAAGAAAACATCAGCAAAATGTAAAGGGAGCCAACCCTATGGGAAAATATATTCGCTAATGATACATCAGATAGAGTTTTGATCTCCAAGATATATAAAGAACTCACTCGACTCCACTCCAAGAAGACAAATGATCCAATCAAAAAATGGGCAAAGGACCTGGGCAGACGCTTTTCTAAGGAGGAGATACAGAGGGCCCAGCGACTTTTAAAGGATACTCAGCCTCACTAGTCATCCGAGAAATGTAGATCAAAACCACCATGAGGTGCCACCTCACACCGGTCAGAATGGCCATCATAAACAGATCAAGAAACAACAGGTGCTGGCCAGGCCGTGGATAAAAGGTAACCCTCATATACTGTTGTTGGGAATGCAGACTGGTGCAGCTAGTGTGTAAAGCAGTGTGGAATTTCCTCAAAAAGCTGAATATGGAACTACCTTTTGATCCCTTGATTCCCCTGCTGGGACTATACCCTAAGAATCCCAAAATGCCAATTCAAAAGAACCTATGCACCCCAGTGTTCATAGCTGCACAATTTACAATA